GCTGTTTTTATTAAGCTGTTTCTTTGAGCTGTTCATTTAAGCTGAATAATTATTAATTAAGTCTATGTTAGTCAATAAGGTTTGTATTGATTATTTACAAGTTCTTGGTGTAGGCGTCTTTCCCTTTCTCAAATACTCAATTTATCCCGAATAGGGTTTTGGTGCCCACCAATATCTTTAAAACCCTTAGGGTAATTGATTATTGCTTTTTGATACTGGTGCTTCATGAATTTAATGATTAGGCACAACAACTGTAGTCCATTAGGCCTTGCTACCTACAGGATGAGAAAGAGCAAAAAAGAGGGACAGTAACAAACACAGTGGGTGAGAAATTAAAAGGGAGGAGAAGTAAGAGACACGGGTAGTTAAAAGACACATAGGGGAATAATCGACACAAAGGGGTTAAGAGACACGATGGGTACAGTGAGGAAACAAACATGGATTACAAAGCACATAGAAGTTAAGAGACACAAGGAGTTAAAATACACAAGTGGGTTTAGAAGTTTTTATTTTTTTAGTTTATTGAATGTCATGTGAATTCCTCTCTACTGTCTGGATGTAAGATCGTATTATTTATTATTTTAAAAAAAATTTAATAAAGAACAAATTTAGAAGAAAAAAAAGACACAAAAGGGGGGTTGAGACACATGGAAAAAGTAAGAGACACAAAAGGGGTAACGGACATAGGGGTAAGAGACACAAAAGGGGTAACAGACATAGGGGTAAGAGACACAAAAGGGGTAACGGACATAAAGGTAAGAGACACAAAAGGGGTAATGGATATAGGGGTAAGAGACATAGGGGTAAGAGACACAAAAGGGGTAACGGACATAGGGGTAAGAGACACAAAAGGGGTAATGGACATAGGGGTAAGACACACAAAAGGGGTAACAGACATAGGGGTAAGAGACACAAAAGGGGTAACAGACATAGGGGTAAGAGACACAAAAGGGGTAACAGACATAGGGGTAAGAGACACAAAAGGGGTAAGAGACACAAAAGGGGCTAAAGGTGCACTAAAGGAGTTAATATATTCAAAGGGGGATAAGAGGTAAAGAAATAGGTAAGAAACCACAAAAGACGGATAAAGACACATAGGTGAGGCAAAATGTTGAGTTAGGGTGGCAAAAGGTTTACAATATGAATGAGATTATTATTTATTTATTTTTACACTATTGATACATGAGGCTTATCTTACCAGGTGTGTGTAAAATGATATTTGATGTAGAATAAGAAATAGGTACACAGAGGCATGGAGCAGTGTAGTGCCGCATATCCAGCAGTAGGTGTCACTGCAGAATAAAGCGCGCCGAGACGCATGCGTATCTTTTCAATGGGGGAGCCTAGGGTAATCGAGTGCCGACTCCCAGCCAAGAGTAGTGGAGCTCGGAGACGCAGGATGCATACTGGCTGCAGGATGGCTCTGTCCAGGGGGCTGAGGTGCTGCCAGAGAGTGCTGTCCTGGGTGCCCGTGCTCATTATTGCCCTGGTGGTGCTGTGGTCTTACTATGCCTACGTGTGGGAGCTGTGCCTTGGTAAGCTGTCATGGTGTCAGTGGTACATTGTCTGTGCTTTCATTGTGTGAGTGTCTGTCTGTCTGTGCATATATTGTATGTTATTGTATATTTCACCTGTGTCAATACATTGTATCAGCTGTTAGCTCTGTAAATGCTGCTGGCTTGGGGACTTGTTTACATGTTTGATTACATGTCATTGGGAAAGCTAGTATTTCCTGCTGTGCTCTGATTTAACATCCGCATTTCAGGATTTATTTTCCTCCACAGATAACAATACAGTAATGGTTGATCCTCCCCCTGCTTTTTAATACATTTTATTTTTATTTATTTTTTACTCATTGTTATGTATTTTTGGGGGTGTGGGGAGAGGTGTGTTTTTGTTTTCTTTAACCCCTTAAGGACCAAACTTCTGGAATAAAAGGGAATCATGACATGTCACACATGTCATGTGTCCTTAAGGGGTTAAAGGGACACTATAGTCACCTGAACAACTTTAGCTTAATGAAGCAGTTTTGGTGTATAGAACATGCCCCGGAAGCCTCACTGCTCAATCCTCTGCCATTTAGGAGTTAAATCCCTTTGTTTATGAACCCTAGTCACAACTCTCTGCATGTGACTTGCACAGCCTTCCATAAACACTTCCTGTAAAGAGAGCCCAATTTAGGCTTTCTTTATTGCAAGTTCTGTTTAATTAAGATTTTCTTATCCCCTGCTATGTTAATAGCTTGCTAGACCCTGCAAGAGCGTCCTGTATGTGATTTAAAGTTCAATTTAGAGCTTGAGATACAATTATTTAAGGTAAATTACATCTGTTAAAGTGAAACCAGTTTTTTTTTTTCATGCAGGCTCTGTCAATCATAGCCAGGGGAGGTGTGGCTAGGGCTGCATAAACAGAAACAAAGTGATTTAACTCCTAAATGACAGTGAATTGAGCAGTCAAATTGCAGGGGAATGAGCTATACACTAAAACTGCTTTATTTAGCAAAGTTATTTAGGTGACTATAGTGTTCCTTTAAATGTATCTTTGGAGTCTGGGGTTTTACTGCTGTCATGCATACTTTTGCTCATTTTGATTTGTGTATTTCTACACTTTGATATTTCTTCCTTTTTAGAGTGTAAGGGCTTTTGGATTTTAATATTGTTTGCCTTTAACGTAACACCCTTTGTAATATTAGTACTTTAGATTAAAACATATAATATACACTTGCATGCAAGAACGAGAAAGCGGAAAGCAAAACTCAATTTGGCACAGGTGTATTCACAATTATGTTAATTATACAACTATTTATTGTACATTGGCATATCCATTGGGAGCCAATGTGTTTGTATCTGGGGACGTGCATGTTTTACACGTATGTTCTCCGTTTAAATTAGTAGTTTATCGAGGTAACTTGACAGATACGCAGAAACAGCATGAGTGGTCAGAAATGGGTTAAAGAGACAAAGTATACAATTCAATAAGTAGATGGCAAATTTCCGATTGTACAGGCGTATTTAATAGGAGAAATAAATACTCTGCATTAATAAACAGGTTCTCAGGGAGTGTTATGGGAATGTTTTATAAAAATGGGGAAACACAGAAGGGAACAAGATTTGTGAATCTTGATGATTGAAAGTGGGCTTTTGTTCTTTGACATGCGTGAGCCTATGTCAGGTTTGGGGATAAATATTTGACAGTGCTACAAAAAAAAAAGAATATCAAGGTTGCTTTAGGCCTAGAACTCTGTAGGATGACACATTTTATTGTGTTCATCCTATCGTTTGAGGTTCCTACAACAGCGGTTAAGGGAGCACTCCAAACACTGGAACCACTACAACCTGGTGTAGTAGTTATGGTGCCAAAAGTGCCGTGACTACCTCTAAGAAAAAGTAGTCAAACTGTCTGCAAATGGTTTGATAACTTCTCTTGGGGATGCCTGTCACCTCGTCTTCTGCTGATGAAACTGAAGTAACATTAGTCAAGCACAGCATGGCAGAACTTTAGATCGGTGGAATTAACAGAAGCTAATAGCAGGAGCTTCCAGCTCCAGAAGAGGCTGTGAGTTGCACCTGACAGACCAGACCACAGGTAAGTCCTCAAACTGTTCACAAGAAGCTTGGCTACTTGTCGTGGGAAAGGTGCCAGGGGCACTGCAGTCACCATAATCACTGCAGCAGGCTATAGTGGTTATGGTGCTTGAGGTATTCCACTAAACACAGTTCCTGTTTTTGTAGCATTGGTAGAAATACAAGTGGAGTTATATAATGACTAGGAAAAATTCAGAGTTTAAAGTGAATTTCAAATTTAAGGCCATAGTAGCTGAACTGAAAGCATACCTGCCTTGGAGAATATTTCCAGTTTGGCTATTTTGACCTTAGATTTGAAATGCACTTTGAATTCTCTCTTTAGTAAATATCTGTATCATTATTATTAGCTTTATAACTGTTTGATCCCTTAAAGACCAAGCTTCAGTTTTATGGCGTTTTTGCTATGTGTGTGTTTAACTGTAGTTTCCATCTTTCTCATTTATTGTGCAAACACATATATTTGATGTGACATATAAGATACAATTTTTCACTTAATGTTTACAAAATTAGTGCAGCTTAATTGCACACTTTAGTGTTAGGAATGCAAAACTAAAGTTTTTCTCTGCCTTCCCATTACTTGCGCCCTCCCCCACCTGCAAATAAAAGTTTAACAAAACCATTTTACACTCGCCAAGCGGGAACTTGATGTGCAGTGAGTGCCACTCACACATTAGACCTTCACCATAGGAGAGCATTGATTCAATGCTTTCCTATGGGGGATTTGAAGATGCTGGATGTCCTTCTACAAAGTAATCCTCATCCAGCAGTCAAACTTCGTGAAACAGCAGGATGTTTTAGATTGCAGAGTTAAGGGGACAGGGACATGGCAGTCAGACCACTTCAATGAGATGAAGGGGTGTGGGTGCCTATAGTGTCACTTTAAGAAAAGTAATTTTAAAAATAATTCATTTATTTGTTCTGATTTACAGAGTACATCATATGTCTAGGATTTCAGTTTATTATTGGTAGTCTCTTGTCAGGAAATATAAGGAGCGAAATACAATTTCAATGTGGAACAAGTTTAGAATTTGTCATTTTTGCCTTATAAATTCACAGAAATCAAAATTGTCACACAAAAGTATTTTTAGAAATGCATCACAGGATATTTACCGAGGCTTATTTTGACATGTTTCAATCCTGTGCAATACCCCAAATTGTGTTCAGATACCTTTACAGAGGACAACAATACCCCAAGTATGCTTTTGTCACTATACTGTAAAGTTACAGTGCCATGTAAAAGACCAGACAATATTCATTTACAATTAGAATTTTGAAAGGTGAATTTGATGCGTTTTGTGTTACAATTTGGGGCTTTGTAGCAGTTTGACTGTTCAAATTACATCGAAAGGAATACCATTTGTGAAAGTGCACACTCCATGGTATGTCATATGGTGTATATTGTGCCTTATTATGCCACCACTTTTTCACCAGTTTTTCAGCAGAGGGATTCCTTGCTGGTCCTAATCCTAATACAAATCCTAAACCTAACCGTAGCCCTAATCCTAGCAATAGTGTTGATTTCATCAGCCTTGCTCGCATCAGCGCTCTGCACTTTATAATTGTACCATGAAAGGGACCCCTCACATGCTGCAAGTATAAAACCGCAACAGTCACACATCACAAGGACCGGGTTCAGCCACAGTAACTTAAAGGGCTGTATGCAGTTCTCACTTTGACAGAAGTGTTCTTAAAGGAACACTATAGTGTTAGGAATACAAAACTGCTTTCCCATGGGGATTTGGAGCAGCATGACGATGTCCAGCGTCGTTTCACGGAGTTAAATTGAGTGAAACTGCAGCAAGCACCTCTAGTGGCTGTCTGAGAGACCGCCACTAGTGGCAGTCGTAACCCTGCAATGTAAGCATTCTGTAAAACTGCAATGTTTTAGATTGCATGGTTAAGGGGACAGGGACACTGCACCTAGACCAGTTCAAGGACATGAAGTGCTCTGGGTGAGTATCTTTAGGGGGATAAATAATGTAGACAGAATGGTTGGTTGAAACAGGCAATGCAAATAGAAAGAAATAATTTTGGTTTCAGTAAATTTGAATCTGATAGGCGTTATTTTGTAATGCACTCTTTCTATTTTCCTCCACAGTAACTGTAACATACCCATTGGAAAAAGGTAAGTGATTGCTATATGTAATATATATATATATATATATATATATATATATTTATTTTAATTAATGTAATTCATGCGTGCGTTAAATGTAGGACAACCATATTCCTTTTCAAAGGCAAAGTTATTTGTAAGACGCTTGGATATCAGCTTGACTAATTTTTTCAAAATACAAACAGTTTTCTCCCCCAAACGAATCGTGTCTGCTTTCAGTCTTGAAAACGGGCAGTGGTTCAACCAGTGACATCATCAGGTATGTCTGTATTGCTGTCTTTTTTTTTTTTTTTTACTAAATAAATTGATTATACTGATATGGAGAGAAAACAGGTCTCTGCCTCTAAAGGAATAGTCAGAGATTCTCAGGTAAAGATGCAGTCTGATGAACTAGTTCCTCTGTAGACTACATAATGTATGGCCCATGATCACTCCCAGCCTATCATTTATGGTCTACTTTTGATCATATGCCATCGGTTTATAAATACAGAGTGCTTATGCCATAACACAAAATACATTTTTGTAAGATTGGTAATTTATGGGTATTTGTTGTCTTTGGGAGCTAGGAATACATGGGACGCAAATTTGGCCCTTCGTGTAAACCTGAATGGTAAAGCTACAAAGACACAACATTTTACAATTTTTATCATACTTATTTACAGTGTCTGTATGTTTTAAAGATTTCATATTCTAATCATGTGCTGCTCCCAGGGTAAAACGGTATAGGAGCCAGTAGGCACTCTGTGAGGGAAAGTCATTGGAATGTTTATTTGGCACATTTGCCAATAAAGTTGTCTTTGCTTGTCTTAGACTAGTGTCTTGTTAATTATCTTGATTTTTTTGTTTTTTTTATTTTATTTTTTTTCTTTCCATAGTTATATACCTTATCATTTTCCATGCTGTTTTTCTGATCTTTATTTGGACATACTGGAAAGCAGTTTTTACTCCCCCAAAGCAACCAAGTAAAAAGGTAAGAAGCCTTTTGTGAAAGATAGAGTTGTGTCTCAAAGTATATGATAGTTTCCATGATGGCGTCGTGCCCAAAACAGTTTTGTGAAAGAACATTCTGTAGACTTAAAGCTCTCCCACCTTTTGGGGTCTTTGCATATTTTGCAAGGATCTCCAATGATTACACAGGCGCATGGTGTGTGGTTGCCCGGGGGTGCGGCATAGGTGAGGTATAAATGTATAATGCTGCCCCTGCGAGTGCCGCCATCTCCTTTCTTCAGCTACAGGCTCTTTATCCTCCAGGAGCCCCCATCAGTGCTCTATTTTCGTGCAACACTGATGTCTGTGTCCTACAAGATAACCGGAAACTCCATAGATATTGTCTCATGGCAGCGAGACCATGTCCATTTCCCACTGCCGTCACTATGGGGGAATAAAACTTTGATGGTGATAGCTCTGCCTTTTGTCAAGTGGAGGAAAAATACATCAAAGTACCTTTTTTTTATTTTTTATTTTTATTTTTTTATTTTTTTTTATATAATGATCTCTTTTGAATGTATTAGAACTTAAGTGAAATTCCAACAAAGTCAATGTGAATATGTCATAAAGAGTTTCTCTATGTAATACTCACAATGTGGGGTGGGATTGTCCCTTTGACAACATTAATAAAACACTGAAATTCACCTATAACTTATGACATGTTAAGTTTTCTTTTACATTTATATTAAAACATTTTCAGATGACATCGTAACCCAGTTCAGACAGGGCAACGAAAGGACAAACATTGCAAATGAAGAGAAAATTAGAACCATTATGTAATTTCTCCTTTCTCTGTGCTGACGGCACTTATAACAATTATTGGCAGGGAGCTAATGTGGATTTCTACATTTAATTTTATTTTTCACACCTCACAAATACATATTTGTTAAATACAGGGATAAGTAAACATATTAATACAAACCCTAGGAAATGACGGTTCCCCTATAAACCAATTAAAGCCAAGTTCTAACACTTCTAAAGTAAACCCCAAACTGTAGTAAACTGAAAAGTAAATTGTAACGTTTAGGCTTAAAATAGCCAACCTGGGACTTTAGGAGAGTTGAAGACGTTTTCTAAATCAACCAAATGTTGCAATTTAAAAGTCTATTTTTGTTTTTCAAATCAGTCTTCACCCTGTAAAGCATAGAAAGGTATGAGCAGTGATATAGTATTTGTTATATTGTGTGCTGCTCTGTGATTCAGATGGGCCCTGATCCAATTCAGGCTTGGTGATTGTTTGTGACTCTGTATGTAATTGTGGTTTCAGTTTTTGCTGTCCTATGCAGAAAAGGAGCGATATGATAATGAGGAAAGTCCAGACGCTCAGAAGCAAATACTGGCGGAGTTTGCAAGGAAATTGCCAGTTTACACCAGGACTGGGAGTGGAGGTCAGTATATCACTTTCCATTTATGGGTCTTGGAGGAAATGTTCCCTTTCCCAGATCCTACTACAGTCTTTACAGTCCCTCGCAACCTTCACAGACTTGTTTTAAGCAAGAGAAATATAACCACAGTCAGAAGTCCAGATGCAGTATCTCATTTGCAGGTTTGATTCGGGACAAGATCAACTATTATCTCTACCGAGGTCAATAAAATGAAAACCATTATAGGACCACTATAGGCACCCAGACCACTTCAGCTTAATGAAGTGGTCTGGGTGCCAGGTCCTTCTAGGATTAACCCTGCCTGCTATAAACATAGCAGTTTCAGAGAAACTGCTATGTTTACATTTGGGTTAATCCAGCCTCTAATGGCTGTCTCACTGACAGCCGCTAGAGACGCTTCTCACTGTGATTTTCACAATGAGAAGATGCCAGCGTCCATAGGAAAGCAGTGTGCCACGCATGCACATTCAGCCGATGACGAGAAGGAGGAGAGTCCAACGCACGGCGCTGAGGTAAATTTAACCTCTTCCACCCCCTAGAGCCCGGCGGGAGGGGGGCCCTGAGGGTGGGGGGGACCTAAAGACCCTATAGAGCGAGGAAAAAAGTGTATGTTTTCCTGGCACTATAGTGGTCCTTTAACCTGGGTATTGAGAACATGTAAACTCCAAGGTATTTTTTCAAAATGTCAAACCCTCGATGTTTTAAATACTTTAATATTATTTTTACAACAAGGTACAATATTTCCACTTGCCCACTTGCCATTGGCATATGAAAATTCAGCCATGGTTAGTGTGCATGGACCCTCCAGCAACAGGTGGCCTTTATGAAATATTCTCGTTGGAGGTTAAACCTGCTAGCTGTATGGTTTCCTAGAAAAGGGTAGGTCAGCGGTTCCCAAACTGTGTGCCGCAGCGCCCTAGGGCACTGCGATGTGGACACTGGGGTGCTGCGGAATGTTTCCACGGTGCTATGATTATAGCACGGGTGAAACATTACTGCTGAACAGGGGCCCGGTCAGGTGCCACGGTCCTTTTAAGACCAGGACCGGACCCCTGTAATGTCAGCCGGGTGGAAGGAAATTACAGCCTGCCCCTTTCTCCCAGCATCCTGCAGGGAGGCAGCGGGAGAGGAGCACTAAGAGCTCCCGACCCTTCACTCCCACCAGCAGCAGGACTCCAAGCCACCCTCCTGGCACATAAGGTAAACTGGCAGGAGGGTGGCTGGAGATATTTTAAAAAATCACAAAATACAGGCACACTCCTGCAATCTTACTCAAGTATTACATACACACACCACTGCATTCAAACTAAAAAAAAAAATATATATATATATATACACACACAAATACTTCACACAACTGTACATCCGCATTTAAAAGTGAACATTACATTCAGACACACCCCTGCAATCAAACGCAAACATTACACACAAACACACCCTGTATTAAAACACAATAACTATATACAAGCACCCCATCAAACACCAACACTGTACATTACACTATAGCGCCAGTAAATGCCACAGCGCTGTACAGATCTGCAACCTAGAAATTTTTACTTGGGGTGCCTTGGAAAAATCCTGAAATATTAAGGGCGCCTTGAACCTAAAAAGTCTGGGAACCACTGGGGTAGGACATTGATGGCCAACATTGGCATGCAAGCTGTAGCGAAGCACGTTTTCCATGATGCTTATTTAGTTATAAAGCCGGCTGAGCATTGTGTGAAATGTAGTTCTGAATTTTTTGGTGTTTCAAGGCTAGGCATCACTGAAGTATGACCAAAGCTATACATATAGCTTGATGTCCACTAAATTCTACTACTTGCAAACATAGCTATTGTTTTATTTACTTCTAAAAAAATTCTATTTTTTTTGTCTTTTTTTATTTGTTTGCATTATGTTTTAATAAAGTTTCGAACTCTATCACTGTGCTCAGTTTGTCCCCACACAGCAGTGCCCAGGTGACAGTCATTGTACAAATAATGGTACATTCTGTACTGGTCCGGCACTACCAGTAGGTGAACTAGGCAGCTTCCTGGGGTTGCAATCTATGAGTCACCAGCAGAAGGGGAGCGACTGCACATCGCTCCCCCTCCTGTCAGTCAATTATTAAATATTGTTAGTATTTTTTATGGGGTAATTAAGAGTGGTATTACATTATGTTTAAAGAAATAAACCGCAAGAAGTTGTTAGATGATAAGGTAGCTGAATGGGAACAGAAATTAGAGAAAAGGATACAAATGAAGCAATGGTATCGGAGCAGAATAGGTAGAAAAGTGCAACAAAGTATTAATTATTCTATTATAGCTTTGCATTGTAACTTCAGTTCGTTTGTGTAAACATGTCCTTTGGTGATGAATATATTAGTTTTTTCTCTGTCCAAAAATATGCATTGAATAATACTGTAGGCTTGTACAGGTACAAACTGTCTAAAACTTGAAATACCGGTAGATACTCCCTGAACAATAGAACAAGCCTTGTCAAGATGGTCAGAGTGGTAAAGGTGAATCATGTAACAATTTGAGGGTAAAGGTGACATTGTTTTGAGTTTGAATTTTTTTTTTTAATTAAGCAAAATTAAAACAAGTAGTCCAAATTACAGTGTTGAAAAGTATCTTTGAAAGTTTTAAGGACACCTGTGTTTGCACAGCTAGTTGGAACAAAGCAGCAAAATAGATGTCAATGTAGGCAGTTAAGGTTTTACCATGGTTTTTTATTTTTTTATTTAAACCATAAGAAGCCAGGTATTCAGTAAATTCAAGATGGACAGATAAGACATTTGGACGGCTTGAGGATTACTGTTCATGGAGATATCACTGCTAAATGGATACATGAGCAAGTAAATACTCTGCGAGTAATTCAATGTAACAAGAGAGCAAGGTTTAATGTTTCTTTGAAGTAAATGAACACTGATCTTATCTATTTTAAAAGGTAGGATAAAGCAAAGCCCAAATAAAGAAGGTTGCGTGATTTAGGTTTCAAAGGAAGCATTACCTTGTGTTACCTTAATAACTTTGGTTTGATGAGTTTGGAGTTTCATTCTCAGAGGATAAAAAGGTTGCAAGGTACTTTTAAATAAGTGGGTATTGAAAAATGAGTTTATTGTTTGCAATTGTGTTCTGCCTCCATCCTGGTCCCGTGTTTAATTAATTAAGACCACATTATAATATCCGTATTGAAATACGACAGACACTCAATAGTGCATCCTTTGTGTAGTTGCTTATTCAGGAGTTTTCAGACATTTTTATTTTTTACTTTGCTATTACTTGGGGAAACATACCATTTGCAGTTCAGACTGGTAACATCAATGTAGGTAGTCTGTATCCAAATTGTCAGATGGGTATCCACTACATAATAAAGCTCCATCAGCCCACAGTGTGGATATGGCAATGTTTTGGACCCAAATTATTAATAAAAAAAGAAAGCTAGCTGACTGTAAATGTAGCAGCTGTCAGGTGGAAAAACTAGAATTTGTAAAAAAATTAAATAAAAAATGGTTTTTTTTGCCAACGTTACTCTTATTTTAATCACATTGGTAACTTCCATCATAGATGCCTCTAACGTTTGTAAAACTAACCTGCATGTGTAAGAACCAGAAAGATTTCCATATTAATCAGTTCTAATAGACCACATTCTCTATAGTACTATTAAACATGTCACTCCATGAACCCTTGGAAATTCTGTGCTAATCCTGTCTGTCATTTGTTTTACAGCTGTACGTTTCTGTGACAGATGCCAAGTAGTGAAACCTGATCGTTGCCACCACTGCTCCGTTTGTGGCATGTATGTAATCACCTTGACTTGCTTGTGTAATGCTCTGTACTTTCGGTGTAACAGGCATGCCACGCAATTAATCCTCCCATGTTTAACTGATGTGTGTTCTCTCTCCCAGTGAAAAGTCTGCTCTCGTTTAGCATGAAAACTTGGAATTTAATGATTAACAAACTATAAGCCAATATTGTTTTTTTTTTTTTCTATTATCTGTTGAAATCATAAAAGGTTACTTTGTTAGGGAAGTCCTGTTGATAATTTTCATGTACTGATTTTTGTTTTTTATTTTTATACATTGCATACAAGTACTGTCTATCTCTGATATTCTAGCATTAGCAGTTTACATTAACACTGTTGCATTGTTACATATTCCTGCAAATAGCCAGTTTGACAAATCACTTTGTCAGATATCAATGGGGCTATGCCTGGAGATATAATTGCATTTGTTTCTGCTTAACCTTTAGCAAAATCATGGTGAATACTTTGTTTCTTGTCACAGGTGTATCCTAAAGATGGATCATCATTGTCCATGGTAAGTGCAGAGTGTAATATTCACTGGCATTTGTCTAACACTTGAGGACAAAATAAAAGCTGGTATAACCTTATGCCCATGACACAAAATTGGAAAGTGAATCTATCAGGGTAGTGAAGGGGGACATACTGTCAACAATTCATTATAAGACCATTAGAAGAACAGGTAATCATATAGTTTATTATGGACTACATTATTTATATTTCCTTACCCATTCAGTCCAGGACTCTGAATTCTTATAAAATATTTATTAGTGACACAAGCATTTCTGCATTTCATAATTCACACTAGAAAAGGAAGCCACACTTGGATAAACACTAATAGGGTGCTCTTCAACAAGGGCTGGCAATCCCTCAATATCATGTAATCGGAAGAAAATGGTGGTCCAGGCACTCCTTCAATTTAAGCAGCTTTATTGGACATCAACCGACATTGCAGAATTTTGCCCCACAAAGGGGACTTTGTCAAGTTTGACAAAGGCCCCACTATGGGCCAAAACGTTGCAATGTCTGTTCATGGCCAATAAAACTGCTTAAATTGATGGGGTGCTTGGACCATTATTTTCTTCTGACTACATGCATTTCATAATTATAAACTGAACATTAAAGCATTAATGTATTAAAAGAAATAAAACTTAATGAAATTCAGAGTATGGAAAAAAAATAATAATGTGATTGTTGTTTGGGTACACAGTCCTACCAATATGCATTTTTTGCTAGTTTTTTTTATGACTATTCTTTTTAAAATACACTATTACTTTCATTTTTATTTCTTATTATGTGTTATTTCTCTGTGTGTACTTGGGAGAAGGCTGATATGAATTACGACTATGCTTTGTTTTTATAGTTTGCATGTGTGCTGTGAGTGTTTGTTTTTATGAAAACATGACTTTTTGGGTTTCTTACCCGTATATGTGTCATATTGGTCTTCAGTTTTGTTCAGCGCAATATACCATTCATTTTTTTCACAAAAACATTATTTGGTAGATTCTAATGAGTTTTTTAATTGAAACCATTACTTTCCCAGGGTGAACAATTGTATTGGATATTCAAACTACAAGTTCTTCCTCCTGTTCTTGGCATATTCAATGCTGTATTGCCTGTACATTGCTTCTACTGTCTTCAAATACTTCCTACTCTATTGGACAGTAAGTATTTAATTTCAGCATTTTGTGTTACCCCCCCTACATGCATTATATGTGTAATACATTAAGAATAAATAAAGAATATATCCATATAGATCTTTGTAGGTTCTCTCCCATGATGCTGCCTGCCCATTTTAGCAGATCAATGAGGTATGGGAGTATTACTAACAATGCATTCACATAAAAAGCACTTATGTTTGAAAATCGTATATATGGGTGCTTATATTGACTTGTGTCTGTGCTGAGCAATTAAAGGGACAGTGTTGTCACCAAATAACATTAGCTTAATGAAGCAGTTTTAGTGTATAGATCATGCCTCTGCAGGGTCACTGCTCAATTCTCTGCCATTTAGGAGATAAATAACTTTTGTTTCTGTCGGTGCAGCCCTAGCCACACCTCCCCTGACTGTGACTCTCACAGCCTGCATGAAAACCGAATGGTTTCATTTTCAATCAGATGTTAACTTACTTTAGACGTTTATCTCCTACTCTTTAAACTAATCTTTAATCACATACAGGAGGCTCCTGCAAGGTCTAGCAAGCTATTAACTGTGATGATATGAGAAAATGTAAACAGTAGATCTTTACAGGAAGTGTTTAGAATTACTATGCACATTACTTATACCGCATCCATCAACCAATGAACTTACATAAACGTTCATAGGGTTCACATCACTGACAATAGCCATTTATATTTCTTATTGTATCCACATAACACAATGCAGCCACAGGTCACTCTTCTGGCACCAATATCTCACTGCACTGGTTATTCACCATAATGGCATTCCCCTCACAGACAGTACCCACACGGTACCTATCATCCACCCAACTAGTACCTGCATCACAAGCTTTCACCCATCAGTCACTCCAGTGGAATCCATCATCCTCCTCACTTCACACATAGAACTCTGAAATCACATGAATCTCACACAAAACATCCACATTGCATACAGTTCCTGCATCTCAAAAACTGCACTTACGCTTTCTGAATAGCTACACATGACATTGAAATTGAAATCACACTCAGTGCTGCTTTGGCATCCACATGCATCTTCTCAGTAAATGTATCTTACTAATATATACTAGTTATTTAAGAAGAAGAAAAATATGTGAAAGAATTGCAATAGAGCACAATCCGTCCACAGTGGCATCTAAAATATTAAGTGTGTCACTTGGCAAGAGACTGCTTTATGTCAGTTTTAGTGATGTCCCGAACAGTTTGCGAACGATTCGCGCCGGTTTGCCGCGAACGGTTCGACGCGGACTCCAGTCAGCATACACATTCCAACCAATCAGCAGCAGACCCTCCCACCTCCTGGACAGCATCCATTTTGAAGCTGCATTCTTAGTGAGCTGTCCAGGAGGTGGGAGGGTCTGCTGCTGATTGGCTGGAATGTGTCTGCTGACTGGAGTCCGTGGCGAACCGTTCGGGACATCACTAGTCAGTTTATTTGTAAAGTTTAGTTTTATTTGCTTTTTAACAAGCTAGGTAGAGCAGTGCTCAACCTACCTATTGCATGTGAGTCCTGCCTGCTACCTGTATTGCAGTCATACTTCACAGGAGGGCAGAGGAGTGGCAGAAACTAGCACCGTTTAAACAATAGTTAAAAAGCTCTGTAAAGAGCAGGATGTGACACTCTAGACCAGTCATCTCCAAATCCAACTGCAGATGTTGCTAAACTGCAATCCCTATGCTCCTCTAGACATCTGTTGCATTCACAGAATTCTGGGAGTTGTATGCCATCAACATCTGAGACCAGAGTTTGAGATCAGTGGTATAGATGTAAAATAAAAAAAATTCTTTAGAGGCAGAAGACACAGCTGCTGGCAGCCATTAACAGATTGTTTTCGGGACAGCTGACCACTTTAGGCTGCATTAGATGACTCTGAACACTGTGGTATTTTGAGCTGCATTTAGTGGTTCATATTTTGTTGGAATTTTAAAGAAAATCTGAATAATTTAGGTTTTGCTGCACAATTTAGTTTAGCATTAATATGGATTGATGTTGTCCTGGTTCCTGAAGTGTCCCTTTAGCCTAAAAGTTTTTGCAGTCTGTGGAATGTTTGCTGTCCAGTCCTCATAGGAAATCTTTAGAACATTTGTGTTGCAAGCATGTCCAAGACATTGACGTTTATAGCCCATTACAGAACAATGCTCCTCTCCTTCCAGTATTTTCCAAGCTATGTGATTATACATGATGATACATTAATGGCGATCAATACACTTTTATACTAATAGATTAAAGCAGTGAAAAACTAAATTGTACATTTATTTACAATGAGTTTATGGATCATGAGCAATTTGTGCAGCAACATTGTTAAGAGGGATATAATCAACTTGGAAACTAATGAATTGACCAACCTGATTGCAGCACTTGTACAACTTTACCCCAGATTTTCCCTTTGTAAAGGTTCCCCTGGATTGTTTTTTCCTTACTGCTTCTAATATTCCAGTTTTAAAAAAAAAAAAAAAAGAAAACTAAACTTTTTAGCACCGTTGATGAGTTGTTGTTTTTTTTGTTTTGTTTTTTTTTCTTTTCTTCTTCTTTGCCACAGGATGAGTTATCCAATGGACGAGCCAAATTCCATGTCCTTTTCTTACTCTTCGTATCGCTCATGTTCTTCATAAGCCTTATGTTCCTCTTTGGCTATCATTGCTGGCTGGTTGGTATGAACAGAACCACCCTGGGTAAGTTGTTGTTTAACTTGTGTACTTAGATGAAATTCAATCTTTATGAGAGAGCGATCATAAGGTTCCTTACTTAAAGCATATATTGTTTACTGTTAATGTAGACTCTTATGACACTGATATAGTCTAATGACGGTTATATTTTCTTCTACATAAATATAGTTGTGTTTACAAATAATATGAACAATGGGCAAATGAGCTCATTTTAAAACTGAAGAATAGGTCTCCAAATGAATACCACGTGCATCATTTGGGTCCATGTTATAAAAAAGACCACTATCCAGAATACACCACTGGTGGACTATATTTCATCATTGCCCTAAAGTATGTAAGAATTGTATTTGGCTGCTTTTAGTGTATTACTTAAAGGGGCACTACAGGCTTACCGTAAACCTTATTTTATAATATGTGTTGTTTAAAAAATGAAAAAGAAAAATAGGAAAACTTTTTGCAAAAACACTTGCTTTGCATGCAGGTTCTCCCCATTATAGTACTCACATCTACAGAAAATGCCTAAATATTTTTGGACAATCAATATAAATGAATGAGTACTGTAGTGCTAAGCTTGGTCACAATGCTAGCAACATCACTTGTGTTACAATTGCCTTTTACAATTACCTATGGAAAGCACAAAGGCAAGGGAAAAATATGTTACAAGTGCTTCACCTGACTGTTTCCAATTGCCTACAGAAATAGGTGTACTTCTGGGAATAGGAGGTAAATTCTATTATTCGTATTGTGCAAAAAATAGGATACCTTCTAGCATGCCTGTTAAGAAAGTTAATATATCTTGGCTTAGATACTTTAATATAAAGATGAGCACGTTTATTTTCTTATGTGCTTCAAACCTGTCCTTAAATACCAATATGTGACCTTCAGGGAGCCTAGAACTTCCCAGCTCCATTCCTTTCCTCTGAATCGGTTTCATGCTTTATGCTTCGCTCTTCAAAGTATTAGAAATGGTTTACTGTGCTGCTGTGTTCTGCCTGCAGTGCAGGAAGCTGCTGCATAAATAAATCTGCAACCCTTTCTGCAGAAAAATTATTTAAATGCTCTTCCTTCCTCTGAAGTTCTCGGATCAAGTAGTGTCCAGCTCCACAGTTCAGCCCTGGATATTTCGGCACTAGCAAACACTGCTTTCTCTGATCCTTATTAAAACACCTGGGAAACATAGCACCATAACCTCTCAGCAGCTAATGTTGTAATGAGAAGCTGTTTTGGCAACACACACTAGCTGCACAAACCCCCTAAGTAATTTTCATCCTTTAATTATCCAATTAGTTGCTTTATACGTACAACGTGTGCTAACATAATGCCAGTGTTGCACTGCATACAAAGTGCTGTGTTTAGTCGGTTTAGAAGCTTAGTTTTTTGTTTTGTTTTGTTTTTTGTTTTTGTTTTTTAAATGCAGTCGTATCATCATCTTAGAATTTCTATGTGGCGTGTGATGTATTTTTCTATTTTAAAATTAACCTGTCCTGTCAAGTTCTCTTTAACTGCTATCGCCTACTTAAAGAATGAGAACAATTTATCCTAGATTTAAATCATGTATTTCATAGCTTTTAAGTTATTAAACAACAATGTACCTAATGTTCTGCATTGAATGCCATCATGGAACAGTCATGGTTATAATACCTAAACTTTTCCATGTCATTTGCGCTGCCTAGGAATTCTATACTGTAACTTATGAGAAAAGAGAAATTAATAGACACACCTACATAATAACAGCGTTTTTTTTTTTTGCAAACATTACTCTAGCTTATGGCAGACAGACCAGGGCATCTATGTTCTGGCTCTGTCCTGAGATTAGGGATCCTGTACTGTGTGCTGTGTCTTACAGGGAATGGTGCATAAGTTATTTCAAAGTGAACTTAAAAGGAAAGGCTAAAGTAGCCCAACTAGACTAAATTGTCCTAGTCAGTTAGGCTTCTTGTTTGGCTACTTGGACCTTACATTTTAAATTCAGTTTAAATTCCCAACAATTATTACTTTAGTAAATATTTATGTAAAAGTCTTGATAAAGACTTATAAATAAGGGAACACTGTGACTCCAGTTACTTGATTATAAGTTTACAATTATTGATAATACTTTGAGTGTCCAGCTGTAACAGATTTTGTTACATATTATTGCTTTTGCATAAAGGACAGCCCACGGAAAAAGCACTACTACACTAACCAAACTACAGTGCTCGTAATTTTTCGAAGTGAAGAAGTATGATGTCTACACATATTCAGTCATTTGGTTTTGCAGAATATCTCCTGTTTTGGCTCATGAGAGTTCATTTAAATTCCTTCTTTTGTACTATATTTAGAAGCGTTTGCAGTCCCAGTTTTTCAGAGTGGTCCTGACAAAAATGGCTTCAACCTTGGTGTCCAGAGGAACATTACACAGGTTTTTGGAAAGCATTGGAGATTGTGGTTCATTCCAGTGTTCACAAGGTAAGTGTCTGTTAGAACTGTGTGTAATCTGCTATGTTATTTGATAAGCCTGTGGCTGTGGAAAAAAAATCCTAATGAAATAAAATACCTAATTACGCTCTTAAATGTTTTTGCATACCATTATAAATTCCTTTTTAAAACATGTAACCTAACACTATAGTGATAAACTAATATTTTAAAGGATCACTATAGGGTCAGGAACACAAACATGTATTACTGACCCTATAGTGTTAACACCACCATCTAGCCACCTGGGCCCCTCATGCCTCCATAAATATAGCAAAATCTTACTCTATTAAAGCCTGAAGCTGTAAATCTGCATGCTGTTAGACTCAGAAAAACAAGCAGTCTGCTGACATGTGGTAGCCTGATCCAATCACAGTGCTTCTCCATAGGATTGGCTGAGACTGACAAAGAGGCAGATCAGGGGCAGAGCCAGCATGATTCAAACACAGCCCTGGCCAATCAGCATCTCCTCATATAGATGAATTGAATCAATGAATCTCTATAAGGAAAGTTCAGTGTCTGAATGCAGAGGGAGCAGATACTTAATCATAGGATGCTGTGCACAGTGCTGCCCTGTGCTCTGCTGACAGCAGATCTGAGTAGATGGAGGCATATTATGCCTCCATCAACTCTGAAGTCCCTCTGGTTCTCGGAAAATACAATGTTTACATGAGAAAGGCTGCAGGGAGCTATAGTTCTCACCTGAACAACCTCATTAAGCTGAAGTTGTTCAGATGACTATAGTGTCCCTTTAAGTTATTGGTCTCCCTCAGATTGCATTGAAAAGGAGGTTTTGCTTACCTTTTCGCCTTCACCGCAGCTGGCCCCCGCCTCCATGGCTGAAATGATCAAGTTTTAACGATTTTACAAAAATCACATTTACATGTTGTAACTGTATATTACAGCTTTTATGGGTATGCTGATTTAAATTTACAGCTTTGTTAACCACCCTTTCTGATCTGAAATCTCTTCTTCTATTCCAAGCCTTGGTGATGGATTTTCCTTCCCGATGAGAACGGTTAGTGAATCTCAAAACCCACTTTTATCTAGAGAGGACCATTGGGATGAAGAGGCAAGTGACGAAGAAAATCCAGGTACAATGATGAAGTAAAACCATATGTTCATGTTCTCATATATAACAGGCTGTCTTTCAGTGATAATGAAGCTGACAGAAAACCTTAGTCTATCATGACCATGTCTCTTCCTATGTTTTATAGCTTCCTATGAATCGTCAGACATTACCATTCAGATAGATAAATAACTTTCTACACGGCTCAAGAGGAACAGTTTTCATGAAACAGTGAGTTTATAATTTGATACTGCAATACATGTATGACTTCCCAGCTACTATATAATTATGCCCCTACTTACCTCAGTGTTCGATAAACCCCAGGTGCCGTGGCGACTAGGAAATTTGCCTTGGCGCCTGGGATTAGTGAGCCCCTTCAGCCCCCGTAGTGACTGGAAACCTGGCAGGTGGCTTATTGAGTGCGGAGCCATGCAGCTCACAGTGAGCCCTCCAGTGATGCCGGGAGTGAGAAAATGACATCACTCCGGCCCGGCTCAATAAACCGTGCGCGAGGGACAGGAAGATGATCAGAGCAACCACACTGAACCCCAGGGAAAGGTAGTGAGGTTGGGTGGACAAATTTGACAAGAGTGTTTGTGTGTGTGTGTCTGTCGGAGTGTGTATGTATGTCTGTCAGTGAGTGTGTCTGTTTAGGTGACCGGACAGCTCTTAGATTCCAAGCAAATTTGTCGAGCCCTGACTTACATTATTATTATTATTATTATTTGTAAAGTGCCAACAAATTCTGTAGCACTGTACAATGGGTGGACTAACAGACAACTATTTGCAACAAGGCGAGTTGGACGCATAGGGACATAGGAGATTGATGGCCCTGCTCAAAAAAGCTTACATTCTAGAGAGGAATGTTAACAATAGAATCTTATGGCATGACATAATTATTGCAATCCAACAACAATTGTTTGACTGAATGTTGTTTAATCATTAAGTGGTTGTTATGCAAATATGGAAAAAATGTCCTTGTTTGTATTTATGACTTCATACAGCCTTTTTGACATATGCAGGCATATATCACATAAATACATAATACATTTAGACAGCAGCAATGGCAATAAGCATAATGTCCACTCGGTCACCTCCTTTCCTCCTATCCTGATCTTTTTCACCTCACTGCAACTGGATTATCTATGTATAACTCGTGTTTGGTTTTTGTTTCCAATGTAGGTGTGTAGAATTGTGAAGCATGATTTATGTGGGTGTTTAATGTCATGTTCTTGCATTGTTTGTCACAGGATCTGACTACTACATTTTCAATCCTTAAATTAGACAAAATTAGTCAATCAATGCGTTGGGTGATGGAACTAGGGACGTTCAGGTTTTCCCCCCCAATGTAGGTGTATAGAATTGTGAAGCTTCATTAATGTGGGTATTTAATGTCATGTGCTTGCATTGTTTGACAAAGTGAGTCAATCAATGAGTTAATGGAACTAGGGACGTTCATATTTTTATTTTTCTTTAAGCCAAAAATCTCAAATATTAGATTATGCTTTTTTTAAATTGAAAGGGGATAATTGTGGGGAAAATAAGTATTAGGTGACTGTGAATTACAAGAGCTATGTAACTGTAGTAGGGAGTAGTAAGAGATTCAATTTTGAGAGTTAAAGTAATTGTGTATTTATTCTATAATTGTGCAAACCAAATTAAAAAAAAAGACATAAAAGCAAGAACAACAAAGCTGATCTAGAGCAAGTTGAGCATGTTGGTATTTATCCTATATTTCAGTTATCATGTCTCTGTTCTTCAGGGAGAAATCATTGGAAATTGTAACCTGGAATGGCCTCTACTCTATTCCAAACATCTAGCAGCCAAGCTCCCTGTCCTGGCACATTTGCAGCTGCAGAATTCAAACCTCAGGCGCAGCAGCTCATAACCTGCCAGTGTTTTAAGGATCTGCTGTTTTTTGGAGAGTTGGAATTATGATGGGTAGAAAAGTGGACCGACAAGAAAGTTTGAAATTAGGTATATTGATACAACTTGTGCACATTTTACAGTACCAGAGCTTGCTTTGGATATTTCTTTTTTTTTTTAGTCACTAAATAGGATTTTGTATTAATTCAGTTAGAGGGACACTTCTTCTAATGCATTATGTAGATAATGCATTAAAAATGTATGTATGTATGTATGTATGTATGTGTGTGTGTGTAATATGTCATTTATATTTTATGCTGGTCTTCCTGGGTCCAAACCATCAACGGTGATTGCTGAAATTAAGGAACAGCTATGAGATCTCAGACAATCTCTGATCAGTCACTGAAATCAACGTATGTATAATGTATTAGCATACCAAAAAATGTTTACATATTGCAAGTATGTGTGCATTTTCCGTGCTAGTAAAGATGCATATAGGATGGCCATTTTACGAACAAGGTGGCAGTTATAAGGGAATATTTATACTTGATGTCTCCTGTTTCAAGTTAAATTGTATGTATTATTCTCATCCCAACGATGAGTAACAAAAAGGTAATCCCTTATTATTATTATTATTATTATTATTATTATTATTATTATTATTGTTGTTGTTTGTGGGGTTTATTTTTTATTTTTTTTTTTTAAATACTAATGCACCAACTTGATTGGCAGCTTACTCTTGATCATATGACCTCGTTACAGCCAATACGTATCCAAGAACTAAATGGCTTAAATAACTGAACTTAAGCAGAAACAAGTATATGAAGGCAATTAACCAAATTTTATAGCTTCGTCCAACTTTATTAAATACCACATTGTATGCCTCTGGGTAACTGCTTTATGTATATATTGATGTGTTTTGAGAGGTTTGTTAGAATTATTATTATTTTTAAATGCCTCTAAGCTGTGAAAAGATCTGTTGCTATTTTCTTCACTAAACTAAATGCATGTACTCATTGAGGTACTGTAAAGGAAATTCATCAACATGTGATCAAAGCAGTGTGGTGTATTTGTAGAGGTGATGCACATATCAGTGGGATGTGCCTGTTGGTTTCCATGGTGACTGTTCCATCTTTTAAAACGTTATGCCACTTTGTTAAATCTCCCTTATTTTCTTTTCTTTCACCTGACCAGTTTAGTCTGACAGGTGATCCATTGAAATACTACAGTTTGTTTTCCACCTCAATTTCCCATTCAATCTTAACTTTTTTTTCTTCTCTAATTTCATTACAATCTAGTTGAGTTGAAAATATTACACGGAAAAATAAAACAGTGAATCACAAATGTTCCATCAAATAAGGGGGCAATCTCACACACAGTGTAGTAACTCATACAGAGCTATTCACTAAAGTCAGAATTCAAAGTGAATTTAATTTTTTATGTCAATTGATCCAAATTTGAAAAATTATCTTTAGTTTAACTATTCTGGTCTTAAATTTGAAATGCTCTTTGAATTCTCACTTTAGTCAATAGCCTTGATAATAATTGCTTGAGACAGGAATTCGTGTTATATTCCCGAAGCCAATAGAAACCATTTTTGAATGCCCTGAATAATAAGACTGTGATCAGATCAACGCGGGTTCTTTAGCAAATGATAATTGTGCTGCTGAATGGTTGGGTGCACAGCAAAAATCAAAGAAAACAAATGACAACTTCACATCCAAATTAAATATATAAATGGAGTGAATCTCAAGCAGCACGTCCTATGATTTGGGGAAGGGCAGAGACCAGAGAGGAACAAGGAGGAAAGGATGCAAAGAAGACAAAAAAGAGATAGCTTAAGCAAAGTCCTGTCCATTTCTCAGAGGAGAAATCCACATAAGAGTTTCTTTAAAATACAAGGGTCCAATAATTCGTAGAAGTGTTTGGTGGTAGTATGAAGTATGGTAGTTTATTTGGCAGACTGTGGCAGTCACTTTTTTCAGAACATCTTGGTAAATATACCACAACATTCTTGGATCAACTTGTCTGCTATATTTTGCCAAAGAGGTTTAATATGCGGGGGAAAACACATGCTTATTTTGGTTGCATTGCTTCTAGTAATGGTCTTGTGGAGTTTTATACATTTTATACAGTCTAACCGATTTAAAAAAAAAAAAAAAAATGTATAAGCTTTTTCTTCTTATAAGCAATACAGATTTAGACTGTGGGTAGCTTCCCATATGGTGGATCAGGCTTGCTTAACTAGATTTTCCATTCTAAATGTATGTAAAACTGAGCTTTTCTCCATGCATTATCGGTGTGAGAAGCTTAGTTCGGTCACCTACGAGATAAACACTTCACATATCTTATTTATTCAAGAAATGTCACTTGCGAGTTGAATTATTTGGATTGCTCGCACAATACAAAACTTTTTGTGTGTATATTTACCAAACAATAGACTCTTTCTCTTTAACTGTTTTTAAATAATAAATGTATAAAATAAGTTTTTAGTCCATTACCACTTTAAAGATGATTAAACCTTTACTACAACTGTAGATTATCATTATTTGCCACAAAATACCAAGGAAAGTGTTCATCCTTCCACCAGTGTAGATCAGCTATGTTTTGGCTAGACCTGTGAGGTTATTAGTGGTAGGAGGTTGCATTCAGGTGAGTGTGTGCATCTATGTCTCCACTCTATTGGGAGAAAGTGAGATGAAATACAACCAATAACCCTTGTGGGATTTTTCTTACTTTAGATAACCAAGTTCCAAATTATCACTTGTTCAAGTGTGTGCAGGTCACATAACCTTTAAAAAAAAAAAAAAATTAAAAGAAAATGTAGGGAATCTTCTAGGTATTAAAGTTCACCAAATGGTTACAAAGGTGCAAATTGACTAATGTTGATGTAGAGCATATACATCTATTACCATTTCACTTTTTCTTGTATTTGCAAACGTAAAGGAACTTTTTAGGGTCAGGGATAGAAGCATGTATTCCTGAACCCTATAGTGACCACTTTCTCCCCTAAATATCTTACCTTTATTCCAGTCTCCCGGTGCTGGCTCTGCCCATGATCTGCCTGCTTGGCTAACATCATCAGAAGTGGTGGTCTGAGCCAATCACAATGCTTTCATATAGGAAAGCATTGGATTGGCTGAGATGTCAATGAGTCAGAACAGGGGAAGACCCAGCACAAGCCAAACACAACCTTGGCCAATCCGCATCCTCCGAGAGATGCATTGAATCAATACATGAATATATCTCTATGAGGAAAGTTCAGTGTCTCCATGCAGAAATATGAAATGCTGCACATAGATATATTCCTTTGCTGGCGGAGGTATAACTCCACCTCAGTCGGTATTATTATAGCTTCATTAGCCAGCCAAGAACAAGAAATCCCAGCTGGCTAATGTTATAAAGACAGTTTTGTGTCTATCGTCTGCACACACAGCATAATGGCAGCAGACCGTTACATCCCTCGTTCGTGCCACCAAAATCCTCACATAAGCCCATTTTCACTGACATCCTCCCCCGTTAAGCAAGGGGGCGTGATGTCACCAGAGGAGGATCATGCTGCCGGAAAAACATGGCCTTGATGCTGAAATGCAAGTTTTGTTTTAAGGTGTGCAACCAGGATAGTAACGTTTACTCTGACCAAAAACAGTGTTTTATTAAAGCTTGATTTTTTTTTATTTTTTTTGGTTTGACTAACCCTTTCATGTTGTGACGCACATTTTTTTTTTTTTCCTTCTGTTTCTTCCTGCAGTCCTGCCTTCTTTCTTTAAAATGCATTTTAAAATTTCTTTAAAATGCAATGTAGAGTTTCATACGAGCCTATCTAGGCATTACTGCTCCCTCTCTCTTACTGTTATTTGGTCGGGATTTTTGAACAATAGTTTTGTTTTTTTTAAAGGATTATTATTTTATTTTATTTTTTTAAGTGTTTTGTTGGTTTTTTTTGTTTTGTTTTTTTTAAAAAATACATTTTTACGGTTGACTCCTTGAAAGCCCAAAGAGTGTTCTAGCACACACCTCTCTGATTGTGATATGCAGATTACAGAGTGGGTAATGTATTTTTAATTGGTAGATGTTTTCCTAATTCTGTAATAGTCCACCTAATTCAGAGTTTACAATCTGTGATAGCAGTGACTTAGAACGAAAGAAACAGTTGTCATATTTTAGCGGTGAATCTAGGACAACTCTTGGATCTTCAGTAGATGCAGAGCAAAACATGCACCTTCCTGGGTCTATGAACCTTCAGAGATCCAAAAGCTGATCTGTTACACATGCAAGATACGTGCATGCTAAGTCAGATGTATTAATGGTTGAGCCTAGTATTGGGTAGTTTAGTCTCTGATTCCTAACTGCATCCTTCGTACTATATGTACGCAGCCTTGGGCACTGCAATGTATGTTTAATCATGGAAAATGGCATCCTTCATAGCATTTTCAATAACTTTGGGGAAGCACAATCAAGATAGAGTAGTCATAGTGTAAATATATTTTTAAAAAGTCTTTAGGATAGAGAAAGGAAATAGAAAATACTGTATTGGTAATAGTGCCAGCATGCCATTAGCACCGTCTCTCCCTTTTGTGTCAATAATTGGGCCCTCATCTGATGTAATATCTTTGTGAAACATATACAATGGCTGAATCACTCAGCCAATAAAATTACATTTGACATTCATTTTGAATTATCCACAAATAACCCTTAAACCAACATTAACCATAGCTGTTGTATTTTTATTTTTTTTAATAGTAATAGATAAGTCTCTACATCTAAATCTTAAAGAAAGAAAAAGCTTAAATGTAGCTATTCATACCATGGAACAGTCTTGGTGTGTTTGTGTTTGAATGTGTCGTATGAGTGATCGTCCTATACTTGTGAAAACAAACAATGTTCCTAAGCCGGACTTGGGCTACTACATGCCTTTTTATGCTTTTTATGATATTTATTTTTATGCTCTTGCAGTATTTTTTTTTTTTTCTTTACAAAAAATGGTTTCCACTGTACAATACTGGTTCTGCTACCTGCTGAAGAAATTGTTCTAATTTACAAATTCCTTTTTATATTTATATAGCTTAATTATTGTTAAATGTTGACATCTGTTTTATACTTTTGATTTTATCACATTTAACATGGTGTCTGTGAAAGGTAACGGGTGTTTAATTTATTTTAAACCAGAATGAAATATGCTATATTGGACTTCATATGCACAATTCAATCAAAATATGTATAATCTGTTTATTTGATTGTCCAGCTTCCTGCAGTACTAAGCAGGAAGTGTCCTGTACTACACATTTTGTGTTTATCCTTTTTTTTTTTAATGCATTTTTATGTATTTAGTAACTGTGGTCTCAAGAATGTGTTCCAAATTAAAGAATTTCAAATAATGTAACTTTTAATTTTTCTTGTATGAAATCAATTTTTAGCGCTAATCAAATAAATTGTGATGGTTGCATGTGTTCCTTGCAGTTTCTAGCAAATATTACTGATCATATTTGGCTAAGGCTTCATCTGAGTGGCAGATTAATCCTGGGCCAACAGAAACTAGGATCATTGTGTCAACCTATGTAGGAGCCAGTTTTTGTGCCTCTTTACCCCTGATACTAAGTAGTGGCTAATGACCTTTATTGAGAAGGCAAAAGAGGCCAGTGCTTTCTTTGTGCATTAAGGTATAAAGTCTGCATATCCCTTTTTATTATACAATACTTTACATTACACACTGGTACAACATTAAAGGAACACTCCGTTGAAATTTTTATTTAACAGTTTAGTAGATAATATTTTTTTCATATACCCCCCCAAAGGTGTATTTTTCCGAGTGTTTTCTTTAGGGTTATATGTAAACTGTGTTTTGCGCTCATGTACAGTAGTCTCTGAATGCTTTCCTTTAGCCCCTTAAGGACAGAGCTTCAGAAGCTTGTCTTTCACTTAATGACAACAGCATTTTTTTTCATATTTTGCTGTTTGCGTTCAACTGCAATTTGCATTTTACTAATTTATTGCACCGACACATATTATATATCGTTTTTTAAAGGACACAAAGCGCTTTAATTTGATGTAAGACATATATATAAATGCTTATTTATTATAAAAAATACAGAAATTTTTTTTTTTACAGTTTTTGGAATAATGTGTGCATAATTAGTGCAGGTGAAGGAAAGTAATTAAAAATAAATTCATTTAGTTGTTCTGATTTACAGAATATATAATGTGTCTGGGATTTTCAGGTTTTTTTGGTAGTTACAGGTCACAAAGCACAAGGAGTAAAATAAACTTTTAATGTGGAGCGATTTTAGAATTTGGTATGTTTGTCTTGTATCCTTAATAGCCATAAAAGAAAACAAAATTGGGGGCGGGGCCTGACTGCAGGACTGAGAGGAAGCAAACCTCTGCAGCTCCTGCCGAACAGCACTGTAAATCGTGGAAAAAGCCACAAAAAACGGCACCACTATGCTGCACAAGGGCCATCAAGAGACTGAAGGCACCGGGACACACACGATGATACCAAACAAGCGACAACCGCCCCGGTACACGCTGGTCCTACAGATGAGGCCTACCCGCATGGTGGGTGCGGGACGGACGGCCGCCATCTCGCCACCAGTAGCACCAAGAAACGTGACTCAAAACACCCGTTCCCCCCCCTATGGACCGGTGGGGGTCATCCCGGTCTGCCCCTATGCAACTCCCCAGCAGAACGAGGAGAGGGAGACAGAGACGCAGATGCCTGAGCCTAACAATAAAGAAGACCTCAAAATGGCGGATGTACTTTACGCTGCAGGCCCAGACAGCGTGGAGCTAGAAACAGAACTCCGACTGAATAAAATCTTCGATGCCTTCTGGAAGAAATTGGAGGCTCGCATGAGACCCCACGCTCCTGATTATAACTCACAATGGGGCCCACAACGAGCTGATAAGCCGAGAGTAACGATACCCAACCCCAACTACAAACACGCAGTCAACCGTCGCCTGCAAAGGGCAATCGGGGGGCCTAACACCCAAAGCCTCACCAAAAACAGCAGCAGACCAAGGCCATTAATTGCGACCGCGTGGGTACTTAAGGGGCATTGGTCTGAGCAACCTACCTTAAAAGCACACGATCAGCATGAGACCCGGCAGAGCAAGCCAGAACAGAAACTAATGGTGAGCCGACGGGTCGGGAGGCCCGACAAGAAGACCGCAACAGAGAGACTGTACAGGAGCCGCAACGGCCCGCGACAAAGCCTTGAGGAGTGCCGAGCAGTGGGAAACGCGAAAGGGACTCTATGTGCCACTACAGGCACAATGCCCCAGGACACGGGGACCACACGCACCTTTACCCCTCATTCCTACAGCAGGTCACAATCATTGCAGCTTTTGGGACTCTTCTAAATGGGCATAGGCTGATCTTAAGGCAAACAGCTACCGGACAGCCAAAAGACCTCAGGACACGAATGCACCCCAGATTGGCCTCAAACGGTGGTATTTTGAACCTGATCTTGTGTTCCCTCCCTCATGTGTTTGCCTGGGCTCCCAGCGACTGCCGCCGAGACCCAGAGACACACTCGCAGTATAGTCTGACATTATATTTCAGCATGTTTATAATCGTTATCAGTTCTGTTTATAATGCCTACATCATTGATGGGCTGCACTAGTTACTCCAAAACCATGCCGCCAAAAGCAGTGGTGTTAACAGTTATTTGAATCAGACCAGTTAACCCTTGATAATGCAGAAAATACTTATGCTTAGATTACGCAGATGCTACCTTGACGTATAGGCAAGATGAAGCAATGTTTTTATATGTTCTTTAGCACCTTACAGCATATCTATATATAGCACACCATGTCCAGGCTCCACACACAGACCTACCTCTGCCACACTGTAACACAAGCTACCACTCCTCAAACACACTAATTTACCTAATCTAGAGCCGTTGAGCATCACCTATCCAATCTCACTCTACCTTCACGCAAACACTGCTCAGCTAAGCTTTAAGTATACATATATACGAACTGCACCCACATGTTATATAGCTCAAACCCAAGCATGTTGTATTGTTACTATTATGCTCGCACTGACCTATTATCAGTCTAGATAGCAAAGCCCCACATAACAATGTATGAAAAGCTTAGCCTAGACCTTGATCACTAGCCTACTGAATACTTCTCTATTATAAAAAAGAAAATGTGCAATGTATATTAAGCCACACTGTTGTTTTCCTTTGTTTATTGCTTTGTTTGCACTTGCTATCGTGGCACTGCAAATCTGCTTGTTAACTCATGCACAACCTAAATAAAGAATTAAAAAAAAAAAAAAAAAATTGCCAAACAAAGGTATATATTTATAGAAAGTAGACATCACAGGCTATTTATCTAGGGTTGTTTTGACACTTTCTACATAGCCATTTCAACCCCCAACCTCTGCTAAATATTGGAGTAAAATTGTGGGGGTTTTTTGTTTTTGGCACACAAACTTATAACAAAAAGAAATTCTCATGTGTATTTTGTAAAGTTGGTGTGTGTTATTCCTGTACAAAGTTTTATTTTGTGTTCAGTTACATCTGCTGAGTAAAATTACATCCCCATTGTATGTCTTTGGCACTATTTCGTGAAGCTACAGTGCCATATAGGAGGCCTGTTCTTTTCAGTATTCACAGTAGAATTTTGAGAGATGGATTTAATGAGCCTATGCTTCCATTTGGGGCATTATAACAGTTTGACTGTTCAAAAAAGCCCATAAAGGCCTACCATTTGTAAAAGTAGACACTCGAGGGTATCTCATAAGGTGCATATTGTACCTAAACATGCCCCCATTTTTTCACTAATATATGCCAAAGTATGTGGTAAAAAATAATTTTGTGCGTTTTTTACACATGGATTGCATTTTTGCTGGGCATTTTGTATATAACACATGTGCCACTAAGTTCAAACCCCCCCAAATTATGCTCAGCTAAGTCTTCTGAGTAAAATGACACCCCCATTGTATGTCTTTGGCACTAACAGAAAAAGAGACAGAGAATATAGGGTGTTGAAATAACTCAACTCCCCAAACTCTGTGAAGGTTACAAGAGGTATAAGGGGCTTAACCCCGACATAAACTATAGAGAGAAAATGAACTGGAAGACCACCAGAATGTGATATAAAGGTGGAAAACCTGTTCATTCACAAATCTATTCAAAGTTCAAAGTTCAAATTCAAAGTTCGGTAAAACCTGATATGGCTTGGTCTCCTATCTGGCACTGTAGCTTCATGAAATAGTGCCAAAGACATATAGAGGAAAAAAAGAGAGAAAATGAACTGGAAGACCACCAGAATGTGATATAAAGGTGGAAAACCTGTTCATTCACAAATCTATACCTCTCAAAAAAATAAATGTACTATATACAGAGGGTTCTTAGACCTTTAATGGAACAAAACATGCATATTTTAATTATATATATATAGCTGGCTATAAACATTGCCAGAAAGTGGTTCCAAATACCACTTTCTGGCAATGTTTATAGCCAGCTATATATATAATTAAAATATGCATGTTTTGTTCCATTAAAGGTCTAAGAACCCTCTGTATATAGTACATTTATTTTTTTGAGAGGTATAGATTTGTGAATGAACAGGTTTTCCACCTTTATATCACATTCTGGTGGTCTTCCAGTTCATTTTCTCTCTTTTTTTCCTCTATATGTCTTTGGCACTATTTCATGAAGCTACAGTGCCAGATAGGAGACCAAGCCATATCAGGTTTTACCGAACTTTGAATTTTGAAGCTGGGCGTATGTGCAATTTCCAAGCATCTTAGCAGGGTTTAAATTCAAACTACCCCACAAAGGCCTACCATTTCTTAAAGTAGATACCCCAGGGTATTTCAAAAGGTATATTTTGAACCTTAGCGTTGGATCATTTTCCCGCTAGTTTGTACCAAGTGTAGTGGTAATAAGTGTTTTTTCTGCCTTTTTGACACACAAAGTGAGTTTGCACAGTATATTTTGCAAACCTTATGTGTGCTACGACTGTATAATACTTCATATGTTGCTCAGCTATGTCGGCTGAGTACAGCAATACCACCGTATGTATTTTTGCCAGGTATATGTGGATGTTGAAGGGGCACATTTGAGACGCAGCCATTCAGTTTTTTTTCTAACTTTGAAGTTTTACGCTGTGTCCATGTTCCAATTTGGAGTAGTTTAGACGGTTGGTTATTGAAACTTCCCCACAAACACATTATTTATTAAAGAATACACCCTGGGGTAATTCAAAAGGCATATTTTGAACCTTAGCGTGGGATCATTTTTCCTCTAGTTTGTTCCAGGTGTAGTGGTAATGAGCGTTTTTAAATGTATTTTTTTTACTTTTTGAAACTTTTTTTACTTTTAAAAACTAGTTTTTAAACTTTTGTTTTGCTTATTAATTTTTTGTTAAACTTTCCTAAACTTTCTTAAAACAATTTTTTACAGATTTAACATTTTTCTAAGCTTTTTTTTTTTTTTTACCGTTAACTCCTAACTAGCAGTAAGCAGCACTAACAGTAAATTCCCCATTTTCCCATAACTCCCACCCACCCCAGCTAGCAAAATATTTAAATTAATTAAATAAATTGAACCCCTGAGGATTAAAAAATAAATTTTAAAAATTAATCCTCAGGGGTTAAAAAAAAATTAGATCACAGTATAATACTGTGATCTGTATTTTGATCACTGTAGGCAGTGATCGACTGGTAGGGAAGGGGTTAATTTTTATTTGGACTGGGTAAAGGGGGTGTTTTTTTGTTTTTGTTTTTTTTACCTAAACGTTATTACAACTTTTTTTTTTTTTTTTTAGCTTAATTTTAAACTTTTTACAGTTTATTTTAAAACTTTTAACGTTAACCCCTAGTTAGCCTAACACCAATTCCCCACTAACTTCCACCCACCCCAGCTAGCTAAACATATAATTTTAAAATATTTAAATTAATTCAGTTAATTTAACCCCCGAGGGTTAATAAAAAAAAAATTAACCCTAATCAGATGACAGTAAAATGTAATCCCTGCCATTTTATCACTGTAGTCAGTGATCAATTGGCAGGGAAGGGGTTAATTTTTAATTAAAATGGGTAAAGGGGGGTGAGATTAATTTTTTTTTTTTTTTATATATATATATATATATCAGGGGGTAGGATCATCCGTCTCCTTGCACTTCACACAGAACCAGGAAGTGCAGGGAGGTGGAAGGTGAGTATACTAAGCACATGTGCTCGCTCTGACATGCTTGGCAGCACTATCGGGTGCTCCCGGTCTGCCTCTAATACAGAGGCAGACTGGAGCACCATTGCGGCGATCCGGGGTTTAATTTTAACGGGTGACGGATGAGGTCCGTCACTCGTCGTTATGGCAATCCCCTGAGTGACGGACCTCGTCCGTCACTCATTGTTAAGGGGTTAATCCTTTAGGAAAGCATTGGATTGACTGAGAACAACGAGGCAGAGTGGCCGGCCGCAGACCAGCACTGCAGGGAAAAAAAATTTAAGTAAACTCTCCTTTTAACCCTCTCAGCCGGCGTTGATCACCAAAATGGTTAATAGGGCACTATAGAGTTACAAATAAACATTTGTATTCCTAATGCTACAGTGTTTATTTAAGTAAGCTGAAGTGCTTTAGGTTTCTGGATTGGTTTTCAACAAACAACCATGCAGGAAAAAGACAAGCCCTTGCACACCAATCACTGCATCATAACACGAAATTCCCAATAGAAAGGTTGCAAAGGGGTATGTTAGTAACAGTCCGTCAGGATGATGAGCCTGGCAGCAGCATTCATTATAGGCTGGAGAGGGGCAATTTGGAATGCAGTTGAGTAGTGAGTTGCAATAGTCAAATCGGAAAATAAGTGCACGAACAAGTGCCTTAGTTGTATCTTTCGTTTATAAAAGGGTAAACAAGGGCAATATTTTTAAGGTGGAATGTACAGAATTTGGATACAGACTGGATGTGAGTAGAAAAAATCTGAGTCAAAAATAACTCTAAGGCAGCGAACTTGATGGGTTGATCTCAAAGATGTTCCATTGATGTGTCAGAAGATAGATGGAGATGGACTAATTGAGCATGGAAAGATGAGAAGTTCAGTTTTGAATATATATATGAGGCGGTTTGTGACGTGTTCCAGGACGGGCGGGAGAGGTATAGTCTGCAAATAGATGGTATAAAAAATCCAGCAGTGTTAGCAAAGTTACCAAGAAATGTAGTGTAAATAGAGAATAAAGGAGAACCAAAAACCGCTTTGGGGAACACCAACTGAGACAGGCAGTGGGGAGGGAGTGGCATCAGAGAAGACGACCATAAATAAGTGTCCAGAAAGTTAGTATGAAACCAGGAAAGTACTGTCTTGGAGTCTGTGGGTTTGAAGAAGAAGATCGTTGTCAACAGTTTTAAAGAAGCCAAGAGATTGAGGAGAATTAAGAAGAGAAATGGCCCTTCGATTTAGCATATATTAAGTTGTTAGTCACTTTGGTATGGACAGTTTCAGCACAAGGAGAGAGCCGAAGCTAAAGTGAAGAGTGTTAAGCAGAGTGTTACTATGAAGAAATTGAGTTAGAAGGATAATCACAAGCAGAGATTTTGTCCAGGAGCATCCAGAGCTCCTGCTGTCTTTCTTCCAGTTCTGGGCTATGGGGCCATTGGTAATCTGAATGTTTCTTGACCTGGTTCTGTTTTTTGTTTTGTTTTTTAACTCAGAATTTCTTTTTGTCACAAAAGCTTTACATGATTTCCAATCTTATGATGCAAAGAGCACCCTGCTTCCAGGGCTGGAGCAAGCCTAAAGCGGCCTAGGCTGCTTCCTTGAAGCTTCCCCGGAGAGTGGGAGCAAAAACTGCCCCATGCTTTTGCAGTGTAAGCACTTGCCTAACTGTTAGGCAATGCTTGTATTGACGTGAACTTTCTCTCAAGCTGTGAGGTTTTGTTTTGGTTTTTTTTGGTGTTTTGATCAACACTCCATCAGGTCAATAATATAATCCACTTTTCAATCACGTTTTGTCCTTTTTTGATTTTTTTTAAATTAAAAAAAAACACAACAATTTTTTTTATTAAATTCAATGAAACTTGGAAAGGTTCGTCAATATATTTGGCTTTAAAGTGGCCCTGTCTATTTTGTGTGTAAAGTAAACATCCTTTAACCCATAAGGCAAAGAGAATATATTGCGAACCAGGATACCTCTTGCACCACCCATCTTATCGGAAAGGTGGTAATGTTCCTATACCTCACAGTAATGACTCTGGTAACAACGGCTGCCTGAAATTTCAGATTGGTGAAGACGCACTTACATAAACAGCCACGTGGTATCAAGAGTGTTGGAAATTACTAAAACCAAATTATTTAACTTGAGCTTAATCATTGGAATATTTATTTTTGTTTTTTGTTTTTTTTTAATGTGTGAATATTCTGCATATGTGATGCCATGACAAACTAAAAAAGGAATAGTTTTTAGAGATCCTTCCCCCAGGTCCGTTGAGAAGTCAGACTCTCATAAATCAATACCTGTTCCACCTCTCCGCAAGAAGGCCTTAGCTTAATTTCCTGAATGTAACATGACCAGTTTTGTATAACATAATCAGGAAGCTGCCCATGAGGGACCTCTCTGCCTATGATTCTGGCAGAGTGTTCCGCTACTTGGGGTGATTTGGATTGGAACTCAACTGCAGCTTGTAAACTCCCTAATAACAATTGTGTAGAAACTGAGAATTTTTAAAGTATCAATACTGTAGCTTTAAGAAAAGAGAGAATCACTGGTAACTTGATTCAACCGAAGTTTTAATAAGTGTTAAACTTAAATGAATTGCATTTAGGCAATAATCCAATAAGAAGAAGTGCAAGTACTCAACAACACAAAGTTCATTATTAAGTATTTCCTCAAAGATGCATTAAGTAACAAGTTCATGAGAATAATCTTCAATAGAAAAAAATAGGCAAGTAGCTAAGAATATTTGCAGAGCAAGAACAGTTCATAGTGAATGAGCATGATGGGAGTTGTCCTCCATATAATTAGTAGTTTGAAGCAATGAAGATTTGCAAGGCAAGACACAGTTCATAGTGAATAAATATGATGGGAGTTGTCCTCCATGTAATTAGTAGCTTGAAGATTTGAGTAAGCAAGCATTAGTTCATTATTAAATGATATTGTAGACAAATAGCTGAAAGATATACTTAAGGTTAATATGTGTAGTCCTCCAATAGTTCAGAGATATGGTCCACTTGTAAAGTAGCAAAGTATCCATTCTCCAGTAATCCTTTATGGCATGAAGCAATCCTTGAATTGGCTCAAAGGCTGGAACGGCTTGTCTGAGCTTGTGGAGAGGTAAGTCTGGTGGAAGTAGCTCCCAGTAGCTGAGCCTGTGGAGCCCGCGGTCTCGTGGAGGCAGCTCACACACAATCACCAAGCACCCTCTCTCTGGCCCAGTCTCCCTAAATACCGTCAGAGGGGGGCGGGGTCCGGCTCCTCACAGCTGAGTGCCGAACCCGGAAGTGTTACTCCATGACACAGAAAGTCACAGGATGAAAGAAGATGTGTATCATCAGAGGAAATAATTTGCAACTAGAATTTCTATGTAGAATGTAATGGGCACTTGTGATGCATTCGACTGTGAAACTTAACCAGTCTTCATGAATGTGATGAAAGTTATAGCTCACAGCATTTCTGGTGCATGTTCCTCCATGACAAAGTTCCATTTCAAACTGCTTGTAATTGTGTAACATGTTGAGGGTTATTCACTCAAATAAGGATTGCTGGTAAGTCAGAGTGAATTTCAAATTTAGGACCAAAGTATCTGAACTGGAAGCATGTTACTTGGATAGTTTTTGCCAGATAGGCTACATGGCCTTACATTTAAAATTCTGTTTGAATATCTGACATCTCACATTAGTGAATAACCCTACTTGTGATGGATAAACGGCCAACAAATACAAATTAGCAAATTATTTAATAACATTTATGCCTGTCTGCAAAGACGTTCAGTTTGTGTCTTGTTAGCAATGAAGTGGGTTAATTCAATTGTTAAATGGGACACTTCTCCAGGCCCAAGCCCAGTCATGTAGCAGAGGAAATAAAAGAAAATAAATCAAGTAGCTGCTACCAAGACATCCAATTTATAAATAAACAATGTTAAAATAAAATTATTGGGGCGTGGCTTGACTGCCGAGAGAGATGGCTGCTTAGACTGAGTGCTCTTGGACGATCCGAAACGCAAAGCAAAGTGCTATCAACCCCAGTAAAAGTACCTGCGGATATGCCAACCTAGGAGGGAAGGCAAGGACAATGGCCTTGAATAAAAAAACTTGGTAAAAAAACGGAAGATGGAGCCCCAACGATCGCGGACTTGCTAACGGCAGCAGGCGGCCAAAGATGGCGGCGGACACACACACGCACAGTCTCCCCGGGCTCCCCACACGACAGGGAACAAGATCACCTGCCACAGCAATCGGCAAACGCTGAAATACTGCAATCGCTGGCTGAGGTGAAGCAATATCTTGCAGGGGAAATCGAACGCTCTGCAAAAGAAGTCAAAGCAGAGATCCAATCAGTAGGCCAGTGCACTGAGGCCCTCGAATGGAGAATGGACCACGTGGTGGCGGCCCACAATGAAGCCGCCACAGCCACAAACAACTTACTCACAAGAGTTGCGGAATTGAAAGCTGAAATTTAAGACGCTTCTAATAGGTCAAGAAGAAATAACCTGCGAATAAAAGGCCTCACTGAAAAAGTAAAAGAAACAGAGCTGCAACAAGTGCTGACAAAACTGTTTAGAGATCAACTACCTGATATACCTGAACACCTGTGGACAATCGACAGGGCCCACAGGGCACTAAGAGCAAAAGGCCCTCGGGACGAACCAGCAAGAGACATGATCATGCGCTGGCACTTCTTCTCCACCAAAGAAGCTATCATCTCTTTCTTCCTTTTTAGACCTTGATTGTGTTGGTTCTCACTGCTTCCGATCCTTTTGATCTGGCAGACCCCGGATCCTGGTACTACCCCACTCGTATCCACCTCCCCCCCCCGAACACCTGTTAAGCAAAGGCAAACTTTAGAGACCCAAACCAATTAGACAGCTGGTTTCCCCCCACCCCGTCGACATGGCAAGGGCGGAACACACCTCCAGCAAATTAAACACCCTTCCCCCGTGCGCACCCCCCTACCCCCTGGCTCACGCCCGGGTGGGATGTGCGGCGGACCAAACTGAACGCTGACGGGAGAGGTGGGAAGACACCCGGACCTAAGAGACTCGAGACAGTAAGCATGGCCACACTAAAAATCACTTCCTTGAATGTCAACGGCCTTAACACACCAACTAAAAGACAATTACTAATGAGGGAACTAAAAAGACACAAGGCTGACATAGCTTTCATACAAGAATCACACATCCTGTGCTCAGCCAAGATTCAACTGGCTGATCATCTTTACACCAGGTCATACTCCTCCAGGGCTTTAGTAAAGAAAAATGGAGTAGAAATATTCATACATAAAAAGTGCCCTTTTGTCCTACAAAATACGCAAACAGATACCGCGGGAAGGTACATCATTCTCACAGGGGCTATATACGCTACCACGTACCATCTAATAAACATATACGCTCCTAACCAACCAGACCCGGAATTCTGGGATCAACTACACGACACTCACATGGAATAGTGATACTGGGAGGCGACCTAAACTCGACGCCCAGCCCTGCACTTGATCGTAGCACACCGATGGGGAACCAAAGGCCCCAGAGGGTAGGGGGTCAAGACAAAATATTAACCAGATTCATACAAAAGACAAAACTGCTAGACACCTGGAGGCTACAACATCCAGGGGGGAGGAACTATACGTTCTATTCGGCGGTACACTCAACATATTCCCGGATTGACCTGTTCCTGGTCAACCAAATAGGGATCCCGTGGATCCAATCGGCAAGAATCAACCTTATAACATGGTCAGATCATGCCGAGATTGAGCTCACGCTGAGACTCCCGAGACCAAAACCCCCATGGAAATGGAGGTTAAACAGCACACTTATAAAAGACCCAGAGGTGACAAAAACTATACAAGACGAACTAACAGCCTACTTTGACCTAAACGACACACCAGAGGTAACACAATCCACGGTTTGGGCTGCCCATAAGGCAGTACCCTTATTAAAATAGCGACCAGAGGAAAAAATTAAAGGCAGAGACCCTATTTGAACTACAAAAAGCACTGAGGAAAGCTGAAGCTAGACATAAACAGAACCCCACGACAAAGGGACTCCAAAATTTCAGAGAGATACGCCACGAAATTAGGGCCACAGCGGTGGAGGAGCTAGGTAGGGACCTAATCCGTAAAAAAATGCCTCTATTACGAACGCTCCAATAAGATGGATACCTTACTGGCCAGGGCACTTAATCCGAAACCACACTATCAAACCACAACAGCGGTACGCGACCCACGAGGAAAAATAACCCATAATCCTATGGAGATCAATCAGATCTTCACGGAGTTCCTCTCCAATATATATAATCACTCCCCAGAGTGATTATATATATTGGAACTACACACGGGAACTACACACAAGCGGTCGCAGACTATGTCGCAAAATCCAACTTGCCGCAGGTAAGCCCCAAGGTCTTACATGCCATAGGAATGCCCACAGAAGAAGAGGAGGTGGACAGGGCGATCACCGCCCTAAAAGGGAACAAAGCCCCAGGGCCAGACGGCTTTGACGGCTCCTATTATAAAATCTTAAGGGACACACTGATCCTAAGGCTAGTTAAAGTATATGCAGAGTGGATGGCCGGGGGATGCTCAAATCCCTCCTCGAGGAGTACAGACACGTAGCAGGTTATAAAATTAACCTGGAAAAATCGATGGCAATGCCAAAAGGAATGGACCTAGAGGAAATAAACGGTATAAAAACCATATACCCTCAAATTCACACAATCCAGTATAAAGTACCTAGGGATTAAACTCACGGCCGACCCTGATAACTTATATAAAGCGAACTATATGCCCAGTATCCAATCACTTTGTCAAGACCTGGAAAAATGGCACGAAAAAACAATCTCATGGATAGGCAGACTACATGCCATCAAAATGACGCTGCTCCCCCGACTGCTGTTTTTCTTCCAGGCCCTACCGATTAAGGTGACCAAACAAGACCTTACTCCTCAACAGAGGAATATAGATAACTTCATATGGGCACAAAAATGCCACAGAATAGCCTGTGTTGTATAGACTGAAATCTAGAGGCGGACTGGGTCTCCCAAACCTATATCAATACTACCTAGTGGCGCAGCTAGCCCAAATCGTAGTTTGGCACACACAGGAAGGCTCCCACCGATGGGCCGACCTGGAAACAAAACTAATGAGCACAGACCTACTACAATTTTGGATATGGGTATCCAAACAAGACAGACCGCCCTTACGAACTACGTGCCCTGCGATTCTAAATTCCATACGAATTTGGGATCAGACGGCCACTAAATACGCCCTAAAACATACACCCTCGCCACTTACTCTGTATTTACGGAATAAAGCATTTAAACCTGGGTTGAGTGCACGAGACTTCCGGGGAATAGAGAGCACTGGGATGCAGAGATATTGCCACATGTACGATAATTTGGATTTTAAAACGTATGACACCTTAAAAACCCTAGCACCCCTGACCACGAAATACGTATTCCGACACATACAACTGCGAGACTTTGCTAAAAACCACGAAGTTAAAAGGGCTGCACACCAGCAGATGACGTTTTATGAGAGACTATGCAACGCGGAAGCCCCACAAAATAATAATAACCGCAGTAGACGCACAACTTAGCGCACCAGACAAAGACGCTAAAGCCCCAAGATATATAAAACAATGGGAGACGGACTTAGGCGGGGAATTAGAGGGGGAGGATTGGGTGGACATCTGGGAAGCGACTGCTAAAACATCAATATGCGTGATACAGCAAGAACAATCGTATAAAATGCGTACAGCACACCGGAACAACTGTACAGAATGGGCAAAACCACGACGGACATATGCTGGAAGGGGTGTGGTGACAAAGGCACTTTCATACACATGTGGTGGGAATGCCCGAGAGTCAACAAATACTGGAAGCAAATACAGACATTACTGACAGACGTCCTGGAGAGACATTTAGACTTTGACCCATGGTCTGTCCTTTTGTCCAGGCCCATTGACGGCCTCCCTAGAAAAGAACAACTACTCTTTAACAAAATAACCCTAGCGGACAGAAGGGCGCTGGCGCAAGCCTGGCTGAAACCCACACTCCCCACAAACGACGAAGTGATAGTGAAAATCAAAAACATATACCTAATGGACAAGCTCACAGCCCAAATTAGAAACAGAAATTTATTCCATAAAATCTGGCAACCCTGGGAAGACTATGCTAACGAATGAGCTTCCTCAAACTCAGCTGGGCTCACCCCCCGTCTCCCCACAGACCGTTTACTAACACAACAAGGAGACGGTGCTTGGGACTATCACACCATAATATACACACTATGAAAATACCCCAATAGGTGGTGATGAGATGGGGGCACCAAAAACACGACACTGGCATAAAATCCTATATAGCAGAATCAAGACCGCCTAACCTAGGACCCAATTCCACGGGGGCCAGTGACCTACACAAACATACACGCACCCTGGGTCATGTACTATACGGGAGTAACTCAAAAGTGACCGATGGCACCAATAATCCAACCTGCCCAGAATACTTAAATTCTGCTCCTGGTAGATAAATAGAACTGCACGAGGACGAAGGGTCCGCTCGGTTCTATTTTATTTTATTTTATCTTACTTGATTTTACTTCACATTGTGTTATATGTTTTACGTGTTTAACTGGATAAGATTCGTCTATAAATGATGAAAACTCGACGAGGAGCGGCAGACTGCTACCGATAACCAAACTGTGACACCACTTCTCTATTGTAACATGCAAAGTGTACAGTTATTGTTTGTTAGCCTCTGTTCGAGACAATGTATAATGTGATGCTGCTCTAAGTGTCGAGACAAAAATAAAAAATTTAAAATAAAAAAATACAATTATTCCACAATCCCACATAAGACAGCTGTTAGTGAGACAGGATAAATTAAAAATGATAAAAAATCATGCTTGATGCATTTGGCAGAGAATGGGACTTACTCGTAAAGCAGTACTTTAGTAGTAGGTTTCATTCATTTTGCTGCCTAATCAATCAGTGTGCTCAAAAAATGTTAACATAGAAATTATATATATATATATATATATATATATACACACACACTTTATTTTTTTTAAATGCATTAAATAAATCTAAAGTATTTGTCTTAAACAAAAGCATGCAATTTTAAGTTGCAGACCACCACCTACAAGCCAATGTAGACTTAGCAGCTGGCAAGGGCTCATCACTATAAGGCAACTTGATTCTTTACTAAGTTTGTGCAATATTAAAGAAACAGACCATTATTTTAAGTTTAGCTCCGTCTCGTTCCAGTCCACGTTTTTTTTTCGTCTGTGTGGTATGCTTGATGCCCATCAGAGGGCTCTGCATGGTTAATGAACCATAAAATATAACCTTTAATGCAACACTCCAAGCACTGTAACCATTACAGCACACTATAGTGGTTATAGTCAAACAGTTTGACAGCTTACCTGAAGTCCATTGGGCACTAATCATCTCCATTCTGACCTAACGGCAGGGAGGCGCTCGTTGACTATGAGTGCTCAGCTGACACTCTCATCCATTTAACTGGTCAGAAGTTAACTCAGAAGAGCTAACAAAAGCTCCATGCAGAAGGAGGTAACCAGCACCCAGAAAACCCCAGGTAATTTGTCAAACCATTTTTAAATTGTTACCCTACTTACCCTGGGAAGGTCATCAGCGCACTCTCGGCACCATAAACCACTACAGCCTGCTGTAGTGGATACAGGGCAAGCCTGTCCATAGGCCACTGTGGAACCATGGCTTCAGGTGGCACTCTGAAATGCCGCTCCTGTTATCATCTAAAATAGGAGTTCCCAACCAATGGCAGAGGTGCAGCTGCACCGCACAGGTTGGGAACCTGTGTCCGGGTCCATCGGGTGGCCCATGCCCTTAGGGCCACCCGATGGACATGTGCAAAGAGGGGCCCGGTTATGTGCTGCAGCTGTTTAACAGCGGGCCCCATCATACCGACATAGTTTATCACTTCCTACCAGTTTACACAAAGCCAGACGTGCAGGAGGAGGAAGGAGCCGGATCGGGAGAGCAGGCCACCCCCACCCCAACTCCCATCAACCACAGCCAACA